GGCAGTTCACTGTACGGCTGGGTACGGGTCATTTGATCTTTAAACGTTAAAATATTTAAAATGTGGTGTAAATATATTTTTTCAATCTAAAACAACTTAAATAAAAAAAATTAATCATTCACTTTTCTTCTACAATTTCCCATAAAGGCCAATGGATCAGCGGTAACATTTTGGATAGATCTAAGTTCTTTATACGTAGATCTAGGTAATTTTATTACCCCCATTAACACAATTTAGATTATCTAAGATGAACTTCGCCTTTGCGTATCTGGGCTAATACGGGGTCAGGGGATAAAAAATCTCAGTAGAATGACAAATATACTCGAAAAAAAAAAGAATCTCCACTCAGGAATTGAAAAAGGGTTTCTTGCGTGAGCCGCTGAAGTGCATAATTGCTACACCACGGACGCTGGTCATTTGTAGGTTCATTCCACTTATCTTTGCACTTTGGATTATATTAATTGAATACTAAGAAACTAAAGCATGATCATGTTACTCCTATTTTAAAAGAACTACACTGGCTCCCAGTGAAAGAGCGTATCATATATAAACTCTGTTTTAACTTGCTTCAAGTGCTTACATGATTTATCACCTGACTACCTAAAACAGTTTTTAACACCCTATGTACCCTCTAGAACGCTCAGATCATCAACCGATAAAACAACCCTTGTTAAACCTAAAATAAATTACAAAACATATGGCCAACGCTCTTTTTCATATTTTGCCCTACTTGTCTGGAATAGGCTTCCAAAAACTATCAGAGAAGCAGAAAATCTAGACATTTTTAAGAAGAAACTAAAAGCATTTCTATTGTTATCATATTTCGATTAGACAGAATCCATCCAAGCTGTAGATCGTCGTGAGTTAGTATGTGCGTATGTACGTATGTATGTGTGTATGTGTGCGTGTGTGGTGCATGCGAGCGTGAATATGTGTGTGCACGCATGTGTAATACTGTGTGCCTCTAAAATTGATTTGTAAATCCATAATGTATCATGTTAAGCGCATAGAGCATTGCATAAGTGGATATACGCTATATAAATCCAATCCATTATTATTATTAATTTATTATTATAATCTTCGGCAGTTGGTTTTTTTTAAATCTTTGGTATCGATTTCAACTCATACTACAATGTAGATCAGTGTACGTTTTGTTGCTATTATTTGGTCCTTATTTTCACACATAGAAGTAGAAAACAGGAGTTCATCTCCCCACTAGCTACTGGAGAAATTACTAATATTATCAAATATCTTCATCCGTCCACCGAGATGCTAAACCAATCTCGTCCTTCCCTCCCCCTTCCTCACCAGCCCCAAGTCATTTGCTTCTTTTCTTTGTTTCTGCGCTGCTGGTTGGGTTGTTTTGTTTGTTTGTTTGTTTGTTTGTTGTTGTTGAGGGTTTTTTTTTTTTGGTTTTTTTAAGGGGGGGCGGGAACGAGTGGTCTGGTAGCTTCTGGTTCTTTCATTTTTCTATTGTTGTTTCTATTTCAATGTTTTGTCC